AATTTGATTTCAATCACAATCGGCCATGGAACTATTGCCATAAAGGGCCCCATATACGGAACGATCCGTCGTCACGATCGATCTGAAGCGATATCGTGACGATAGATCGCCCAAAGCTTACCACTCACATACGAAACGATTGGTTGTTACGATCGATCGCTTACAACCGAACCATCGTGATTAAATAATTTAAGAAGTCATACGTGCCCTGTCGAATCGTCGATCGCAATGATCCATACACTGTGGATTTATCGTTACGATATTCATGATTGCATGCGTTTTTGTTGCGATGTCCGATATCCAATTCGATGAAGTAAATCGTTAACGATCTTGATATACACTATCGATTCGTCGTTTCGATCGGTCTGAAACGACGGATCGGACAGATCGATCGTACCGTGTATGGGGCCTTTAAGAAATACATTGTAAATATGTCCATAAAAAATAAGAAAGCTGATGTGGTTTACTCGACACCCACCAGTCATAAAGCTGAGAAAAAATCACTTAGTGTTTATTAAAAGTATTTGTTGATAGCTTAATGAACGCCAGTGCATTTTCAAAAAGTACATTTTTTCCATTTTGTGGCCATAACTTCACTATTTGTGCAGTAACAATAAATTATGAATAGGATAATTAATCAGCATAAAATTCTGCATAACTTTTCCCATAACCGACTTTCTATCTCCTACGGTTTACGAGATCGGTGTAGTGGAAGTGAAAAAAAACTCATCCCCTATTTACATCTGTGGACTGTGGTATTACCTTCAGACAGAAACACAATGAAAATGAATCGGTTATATATTACCATTTTATAATGATATTACATGGATTGAATAAAAATAGAAATCACTTGACATTAAAAAATACAATTTGTTTATATATTGTTTAAGACGGTTTTATAAAATATTCGGGTTATTTGCAATTAATTTGTTAATCGAATGCTGAATTAAGCGGCAATTATAATCTTCAATCTGTCCTTATAGAAAAGATGGTCTATTGTAGTCGTCTTGAGCGAATACTCTTCCAAAAACATTGTATTCTTACACCAGACAGGATAGCACAGCATTGATCTGCACTACACTCGTGTATAATAGATGTCAAAAACTTAGTCGGCCCAGTTTTTATTCAGAATCCATCGTTTTTCAAGAACGGATTTACAAAAATTGGCTTTCTGTTAGCAAAATGTCTTTGAATGTATTTCGAAGAACAACAGTGCATTATTGTTTTTTTTTTTAAATATTTATATTTCACCATAAAGTTACCTATATCTGATAAAATAGGAATTATCATGAGCGATTAAGTCGAAGGACCTTTTACTCTGTGGTCGATGCTAATAATAAATGTTCAAAGGTGGTGTTGATTTGATATTTAGAATTTTCGTTTAGTATTTTCATTGGACACAATCAAAACAGTAACAACTAATAGTTTTTCTAAAAGGTTACGTATATTGTATTTTAATGTTCCCTATTTTTTCCAAGGAAAATTTACACTCTCAAGTCTCAAAGGTCTCGGATTGCTGCCAAATTTTGTTAGACACAGTAATATTCCTTTGCGTACACCACTAATTTATTGACCAAAAACAAGAATGACAAATTAACCAAGTGTAGTGACGTAATGACATACCTTACTATTGATTTTAACGTTATCTAAAACATGTCATAGATAAGAAAATAACGCTCCCACCTACATAACGTATTTATTTAAAAAAATCTATTTCATTCGATAGTAACATCTGCGAAATCAGTTACTCAACTATGCGATTCCAAAATCCAAACTCTACTATTTGCATTTATTTCAGAAACGCGCAGTACAAAGTCCAGGGATCTTCGTTTTGTTTTTTAATCGATTTTTTGTGATGTTGCCAAAAATAGTTGACTGAGAATTTCATTATAACATAAATGAGGTGTGCAAATTCGAAATCCTACTTTGCAATTTGCAAATCCTCGTTTCCATTTCTAGTCATGAATGGGTCAAACGTGGATATTTTTATGAACCGATTTTATTTTTGTAACAATAACTAATTACAGTGCTATTATTATTGAAGGTCGCGCGTTCAGTATAATTTTGTTTTAAATACCTACTATGACCTCCAATATCTCGTATGCGTTTTTATCGCAAACATGTTTTTCATGATCAATGCGTTTTATGTGGAAAATTGAATCCGTCACAATTTAAGTCCTATAAATGTTTTCTTATCTATTTCAGTTTGCCCTTGGTATATTTTGAAATAAGTAAGCGAGATCGTGATTTTCGTATGAAAACATCCTAAGAGTCTCTAGCGGATGTGTGATCGACTGAGGCAAGGCTGTCCTTCACTTTGTCACATTGTATCGACCACGTATTGCTTCACAATTTAACGAGTACAAAGTTCCTAGCTAACCCAACTTTGCACAGTTGACCTATATGCTACATGTATTGAAAGTGGGTCAAATTCAATGACCCCGTAGGACAATAGTGTGTGGACGGCACCTTGTGGATTTATTACATTTCTGAAGTTCGCCGTTAGGTCGTAGTGGGCTACCCTTAAGACTACAAACCTAAAATACTTTCACTCTGATCGGAACCCATATACATGGTGACTCATCACTCATATCAAATACACAATTTTTTAATAGAACTCCTTGTATGTTATTGCATGTTTGGATTCCTTGTGTAATTTTAGTGTGACTTTATATGTCACACTTGCTGTCTAACGCGGAGGGTTTAGTCGCAAATATATATTTTAAAAAAAAAAGCGTATGTGTAAACAAATTAAATATCGCGGTAATTGTCAAACTTAGAACGCTGTGACTTTGCAGACTTACTTACCATACAACGCACCAATGTAGGCTGGGCCCGCAAGGTCGAATTTTTTTTACGTTTTGAGAAATCGATTTGCCAATTTAGATAGGTGATTTTTCAAATGAAATTCGGCACTTTTTTTATTTTGTAAAATGCGAAATTTTATTTGCTTTCTAACGATATAATGGTATCTAGTTATCTTTGGTAGTTTTCTTTTAATTTTTTTACTAAGATAGTGTTTTTTTTTTATTTTTCATATATAAGTGACTAGTAGGCCGTGGAAAATAGATAAATGTCAAAGTAGACCGTAAACAATAACCAAATGTCAAAATTTACTTTGACATTTGTAATTATTGGTTCATACGTTAGATAAAGGTTTACAATTTCAGTTCTGTTATTATATTATATTTGTAATTACATTAAAATAAATTATGGACAGAGTAATTTGTATCAAATGAAATGTTTGTTCTTGGAGAGTGCTCTAGAAATTAATATAGTGAGTAGAACAACAATTTTCTCGCATGTTGTCATGTTACCGATTCAGCATAAACACACAAGAGGTACTTAATCCAAATTTCCACCACACATAGGTAATTTAGTTTTAGATGCAAGTTTTTGAAATTTGTATTCAAATGTGGTGTAGAAAGTCTAGAATTTAAGAATACAAAAATGTCAAGCAATCGTCTTTTATGACCAAGTTTACAGGCGTGCAGGAGTTTGCATCCAAAGGTGTTGTGGAAAAGCATACACTCGAATAAGCATTTAAATATGTGTATGTACTGTGTGTAGCCTACCTGCCTACACATAAGTATTTAAATGCTTATTATTCATAAACGGCTGAACATAGGCACGTGTATGTACGGATGGAATTATAAGGAAGCTGTTGTTTTCGTCAATTTAATCTCCGTCTTATCATTACGGTCATTTTGTAAAGGTTTTATCTAAGACTCGACCTGCAGTCAAAACAATGAGCAATCATGTCTGTAGTACAGGGTTATCATATTAGCCAACATCGCAGCATATCAAAAACTAAACGTTGACGTGTTACAAAATTAAAGCAATTGAAATTCAAACTGACTGACATTAGGCTGTATCCACGCTTTAGAGGTATAGTGGAATATGAATTTGGCACCTAGAGATTAACAATAAGGCGACCAATTAGCAACACAGGAGGTATCGTAAGTAATACAATTCAATGGTAATACGTTAACCCGAGATTGTATATAAAAATTAAATAACGTAAATATCCACCGTTATTAAATTTCGCAAAAATACGTTCCAATTTCCAATTCATCTGAAATTCAAAATATGGAAATTGATTGTGGATGTTGTGTTATAGGCACTGTACTTTCGATGATAGCTTAGCAGATTATATTCTGCTACTGCTACATTGTATAGCACACTAATTACTTTAGTGCACAGTTCACTCAATTCAGATGGTGATATCTAGGTGTGTTGCCACATAAAACGATAGTGAGAGAAATAGGATTGTCACACTGATTGTCATTTTTTAAGTGCGTCTAACCTTCTCGAGTCTAGGGAAAACGACACTGTGAGAAACACACACCTCAGATTCAAGCTCCAATTCTGTTTTGGTTTGGTTATAACTTATAATCGACAAGCAGCTAAATGGGGGATAGTCAAAATCCTATGCAATGTAATAGAAGTCCTAGTTTATCAGTGGCTAAGTATACGATAACTGATTTTGATAAGGCTTTGCAACCAGACAACAATAAGGTAGTGATAGGTGTCAACAGTCACCGAGGGCATTACATGAATCCGTCATGTAAAGTGCTTACTTTACACTACTGACTACAAGTAGAATGACGATCGAATGGAATCGAAAATCATGCATCAATCACGTTGAAGATATTATTAGATCACACGTACTACAAGCGTCTCGTCTCCAATGCAAACTACATTACTTTACTACGTTTCCCTCTCTCGGGTCTAAACCATGAGATTTAAACGTGCTTCCATACGTCAGAGACACGACTTAAGTGTTTGGGACTATCTTAATTACAACTAAATGATAACTGGCATGTTGGCGTAATTAACCAATATTCATTTATTGGCAAACAGTTCATACACTTACATCGTGATGTTTATTTATATTTCATTAACATTTTCGTGGCATAAAATTTAACATTTATTTTCAAACTTCCCTTTGGCGTCTAATGATACAGAATTATACTCATATAATACCAAAAAAACATTACCTAGCTTTTGTTCGCTCAGCCCATGTAGCCAAATTACAACAATCATGGTCAGATCACACACACTACATTTTTATTAAAATCTCAGCAAAGGCACAATATGTTTGCGTGATAGTCTAATGCTAATGCAGTGAGCACAAGCAATCTCCAAATTGGTTTTTAGCGTTCGGCGTTGACATCATTTTCTACTGTTGCTGGATAGACAGAACGTCGCCTTCTACTATCACTTTTATTGTCGTTGAACTTAGGTGTGCTCTTAATAATTTGGTCGTCTTGGCGACAGTTCCTAAAGCCGATAATTACGGGAACTTGTCAAGTTTGTTTGACATAGCTGGTGTGACGTTAACAGTTGCAATAGTTGGACGCTTTGACGTCAAGGCTAGATTTTCCATTGCATTATCTGCTTATGACTTACCTACGCCAAAAACCAAATTTGACTTTTACTAGTTAAAAATAGGTCCTTCTAACGCTGTCATTCATAAATAGACTGCATGCCATTGCCAAATTAAATTTTCCGTTATTACCTATTTTCGACAATACGACGAGACTGGTTTAGCTGTAAATTAGTTGATGCCAGGCGAGTATAATGTGTTTCTACCTATACCGGATTTTTTTCTCATAATAGGTACTATTAATATTCACAATTATCTATTTTTAAAGTAAATAAGTATGTTACGATAAAGATTAGGTTAACACCAGTGTATGTTTTTATTTACTTTGGTGTAATTGGTGATGTAAAACTCTGACGTGTTACCTACATCAATAAATATGGATAAGTGTTGTGAACATTAAACATTCCGTAATTAAATAGTAAATAAAATAAAATCATACAGGATCATTCTTATCTATGAAGGTTTTTCGATCTAAACATCTAATATAGCAACAAAGTAAAGTTGTCTAATATATTGGACCACTTTTCATAGTACTCCTTTGAAAGAACAAAAATGATTTTTCATGTACCTACTCAGCGGAAGCGAAGCTTCTTGTTATCAACGCTCTTTTCATTAATTAAGTTTATTAGGTAGTTGGTGGAATCATTCTGTAGTTTGACCGTCAACAAATTGCAAATGAATTGTATTAAGCGGTTTCTGAATGAAAAAAATGTGCTGAAAACTTTGGAATATCGTTTACCAATGTTTGACGCCGGGAAATGCCTTAACCTGAAGCATTGTTTAAAAAGTATTTAAACAATGCCTGAAGTTACAAACCGGAAATGGAGAGTTTCTGGGCCATAACTCAGCCAGAATTGCTTTTAGGAAAAAAACACATTTTTTGTTGGAGTAGTGGTTTAGGCGCAATGTGTGTGATTATATTGCCAAATAAACTGCACCAATATAGACAACGAGCGACAATGTCGCTTCCGTCCGTCCGGCTGTCGATCCGTCTGTCCATCCGTCCGCCCGTTCGCTACTAGTTCTTTATCTTAAGAGCTATTGTTCTACTTTTTTGCTATTTGGTTCTTTATGGTATCGAGGCTTGCACCAAGAAAGGAATTTTTTCTGTGCAGCTTAGAAAAAAAGTTATTGCAAAAAATTCATTTTGCGCATGCGTAATCCAATTTTTTATGTGTTAAGATATTTAAATGAAATTTTGTATGTAGGCACCTCGAATGAAAGTAAAACTAATGCCATATCAAATAAATTTGTTTTGCGCATGCGCAATCCGTTCTGACTAAAAATACGCAGGGAAGGATTTTTCTTTTAAACTGAATTTGAAGTATAGCACGTCAAAAATTGATTGCATATATGCAACGCTATCTTTCTTATTTGTGGTCGGATTTTTACGATTTTAACAGTTGTATCTTACAAATGGGAAATGAATGCAAGGGGAAATGCGCTTTTTGTAAATCGTTTACGATTACTTTTTCAACTTGTTTAACATAAAATGACTCCACTAAGTGTAAATGTTATACCTGACAAAATCAAGCAAAGTGATTTTACATCATACAAAGACAAACTAAGAAAGTTCTTAATTGCAAATGCTTTTTACTCTGTTCAGGAATTTATTAATTACAGTAAGGATAACCTATCATAATTATTAGTTATACATATACAGATTCGATTTATGACGATTGTAAGTAGATGTACAATGCATGAAATATATTATTATTATTATTATTAAAAAAAAGATACAATTATTCAATTTATTGAATAAAGGGTGAAGATAGTGATTGGAACTCAGGGACCGATAAATTTGCTGGTAGAGATGTTGATGGTGCCGGGCGACAGTGGAGCAATCGTCGAAGATGACAGTATGATGTTGACGGTGCATACGTCAAAATTTTTTTTTTTTTATTGGAATCACTAACTATTCTCTTCACAACTTTTAAGTTTTACTGTGGTCTGGATACTCTCTACTTGATCGCCATCCTCCATGTGTCTTAATAACTTGGAGATCTGTGATCTACACCACTGTCTTCCAACAAAGTTGCAAAAAAAAACATTTATTAGAATGTGAGTATTGCTAGTAGCTACTTCACAAGCAGTCGGTCGTTTTGCGAAGGAGGTGTTCGCTGAAGAATTAAATAGACAGAATCTATGATATTCCTTAGAGCGCTGGAAATAGGACCTTGTTTTTCTTTTACTCTTTGTCTCTAAATTGTCCTTTTAAACATCGTTTTCATTGTTAATATAATTGGTCAAATTTTGACGCATAGAAATTTTGCATCAAATTTTCAAAAAAATTTCCCCACTTTCTTTGCCCTGGGTTATACTCCCTGCCCTTCGGTTTGTTTTACAGAGTTGCCTTTCTACATTGCTTACCTACACCTTTCGTGTGAAATACAACAAATATTTTTGCTCGTTCCTAAACATTCGTTGGTCACCCAAAATTTAATGCGCCGCTACAGCCCTGCACAGATGCTTTTATTTCATAGCCTCATTATACAGGGTACGGCAAAAAAGTTCTGACGGTTTTAAAATAAAAACCACACAAAAATTTAAAGTGATACAAATTGTTTTATTGCTTATTGAAGAAGGGTGTTCATGTAAATTAACAAAACAATCGATTTCCGTTTAAGATCTGAAAATAACGCTCTTTAAATGATGTCCTTCTTTAAACAGTCTTGAAATGAAGATGCCGAACACCTTCTCTAACATTACAGGAGACAGTTTTCTTGGCTTATGGCCAACAATCTGTACCGAACACGATAAGGAGTCGAGGAGGAGGCTACGGTTGGTAGAAATAAATTCCTTTCGTTGTTGAGACCTTTCATTTAAGTACGAATAAAACCAGTCCCCCTCCCCCCTCTTTTGACAAGGAGTCAGAAAGTAGGGCGGTAGTTGGTAGAAAACCGTTCCTTTTGTTGAGACCTTTAATTGGAATAGGATGACTAGCGCGGGGGGTAGTTTATAGTTTGTACAAACCAATTCATTTCGGTGAGACCTTCCATTAGAATACCATAAAGGGTAGACCGTGTGTTCTGTTTGATTATCCTTTAATTATTATAAAAATGCACTAAAAAATAAAGGCGATGATTAGGTACTCCAAAAAAACCGAAACGTCTGACTTAAAGTTTAATCACTCCAGCTTCTGAAATGAGAAAGTGTCTCACCTATTTGTTTTGAAAAACCTCTTCAAATAAAGTCACAAAAATAAAAAAAACGAACGGAATTTAGGTTTTTTCGGTTACCTCCTAAACCTAAAGTATTCGGAATTCTTTCCCTTTCTAAGTAGCGTTAGGTTCGGCCCAGAAATGGGAAACTTTGATCTCTTAAGGTTTTCAACACACGATCAATAATTACCCTTTTTAGGTCTTTCTGGCACATTATGAGAAATGAAATGAGTATAACTTTTGTTTAAAAAGTGATTTTTAAAAAAACTGTACCTACACAACGAATTACGTGGAATTTTCTCAATTTTTGTTGTCCAGCCAAGAATTTCAGTGGAATTTTTTTTCGAATTTTTCAAAAACTAACCCCCACGTACCAAATTTCGTCGAAATCAGAATTTTTTTCGCACCCTTATTTAGGGATAGGAATCTGGAAAAAAATTTGCAAAATCGGAAAGGGCATACCCGAAAACCTATTCAGACGTGCCACCAGTTTTCTAAATTCCAAAACGTCTTTAGTGGTTGGAGAAAAACGAAAATTGGTCTTGGTTCTTGCTCAATCATTGTGAATAAAGTAAATGCAACATAGGAAAGGTGCTATGCTTTAGACAAGGCAGGGAACGGAATGCACGTTTTGTAAATCGTTTCTAAACGATGACCCTTTGATCTTCTTATGATTTCTCAGGGCTATACATAAAAACAAAACCATAACCTATTATAAATTTATAGAGGCACTAACGATCATCGTGTTGTAAAATGTTATCTTTAACTTTAACTATTAGGGACCTTTCAGTTTTCACAAACCTCAAAACCTGAACGCTTTTACCATTTAATAAAAAATTGGTACCTAAGTAATTGGTTTGATTTTGTGTAATGTAATAAGTACTTATGACTATGAGTTCTGGTATTCCAAAAGCCTTGTTTTGGGAAAGTACCACGTACAGTTCGCGAAAATATTTGCGCGTCGGTAGAGCTGGTGCGCTGGTGGTATCGTACTTGGTCTTGAGTTGATGATTTGGTTTATTGTTTGATCTGGACGCACCTACCTTGAAATTAAAAGCGTCATTTCCGTCGATGAATTACCTACGTCGTGAAAGTTTGAGTTGAAATTTATCACGTCTAAAAATAAATGATACTCCCCCAATTTGTTGTTTTTGATAAAATTGGGTTTGTTTCTTGTTGATAATTTGGAGTTAATTAGTCTTGTCGTCACGTTCTTTTGCGTATTAAAACTACATATGCGCAATATCTGGGAAAAGATAAGTTTGGTTGTAATCGTTGGTTCATAAATAGAAATACCTGCAAGACGTTTTCTAGGGCATCAACTCTTATCTTAGAATTTGTATTGTGGTGTGTGTCGTTCACACTTTTTCCACGTGATCGTTATTTACTTCTACCTTTTTTATGGCGAATTTGCGTAATCGTCATTCTTGCTGGAAGGTCATTACATTAGCGTTAACATATCAAATTTCTTTTATGATCAGTTTAATATCGCGCTTTGAATTGATGTGCTGATCTTTGTCCTTTTCCCGAATAACTGGAATTTATTTCTCCGTCTATGCTGTATTTTTAAATTTTCCAGTGGGGCGGCCGGTTTAGAAAAATTTAAGAAAGTAGAAAAAATCGCGAAATCTTTTAGACCCTGACCTAGTTGTCGAATCTGGCAAAATTAACTAAACGGTGTAATGTTTCAAGAATAATAATTATGCTGAAAAAGTACTTGGGGCTAAATAAAGCGGCTCCGAAGGTGAAGAGGAATACGAAGATCCTTGTAAAAATAACAACACGCCTACTTAAATAAAATATTGCAGGGGAATCATCGATCCGCGATCGTTCCGAGGTTATAGACACGCATAGCGCGGGCTTGCCAGTGACGTATCCTCTACCTTTACACGCTTTGTGACGTAAGCATCACGGTCGTGGTCGCGGATATCAGCTTGTGTGCACGTGAACAGCACGCTGCTGATCACGCACTGACCGACTGACTGCCGCTTTCTTATTGGCGGAAAGCGACGAGCCTCCACACAGTATTGGACGATTCGTTTAAAGTGCTTCACACACCCCATGCTGAAACAATAACACGAAACGCGCCTCTTCTCGTACAAATCATTTCTTTACAAACTTACTAGAGAAGCAGTCGTTTTTAAATTTGAGTGACAATTAGTATCTTCGAAGCCATGATGATTAATGAAGATAGCACAATTCATTTACTATCACCACCCTCAACACCACCCTTAATGCACAATGTAAGTATTTTTGTAAAACAAACCCTACCTTAATTTACCCATAGCTTTTGTTGCTATTTTTAAATTTAGTCAAACTATTTTCTCATCAAATTTTTTTTTGTTACAGGGTGAACAGGCCATAACAACAAAACTAGAAGCTGTTCAGAGCCTCCTACGAAAAAGAGCAGCATTGTCTTCAATTCCTGGGACCCTAACACCACAACCTTCCGATTCGGAAAGTGAAGAATTTGAGTATCCTCTTAAAAAACGTATATGCAGAAGAGATGCTGCGGTAAATTTCATACTGTCTACAACACCTCCACCAGAACACCCACGCACAGTTTCCGTGATTATGAAGGCCAACAAGGATGGATCGTGTACACCTGCTCCCTTACCCACCCCCGACGTGGAAGAATACAACATCCTCAAAAGTCTGAAGTTTAAAATGGGCAACCGAAGAGAAGAAATTTTACAAACGACAAAAAACACCTACAGAGAACCACCCAGTCCACCAAGTGCTCCAGCACCAACTCCACCTCAAGTTTCGATGTTGCCTCCGTTAGCGCCGAAAGTTCTAAATTCGAATCAGGCACCGCGCGCTCTTTTCCTGTCGGCGCACGGAAACGCAACTTTAATACCCGCACAGTTTGTACTGGTCGCGCCATCTATCGCCGCCGCGCCCCTGCAACAAGAAAGAAGGCGCGTCTACGAGTGCACCTATGAAGGATGTGGCAAAAACTATTTTAAATCCTCACATTTAAAAGCGCACACGAGGACACATACGGGCGAACGACCTTTTGTATGTCACTGGGAAAATTGTGGTAGACGATTTTCGCGTTCGGACGAGTTATCGAGACACAAACGCACACATACCGGCGAAAAAAAATTTAAATGTGAAATTTGCCAAAGATGTTTTATGCGGTCCGATCACTTGGCGAAACACGTCAAAAGACACGCAAAAGATCGTTCGATCGTATCTCCTACAAAAGTAACTAATTTATCGGCTGTGTTCCGACCATTACAACCAGCACCTGTATAATAGTTTTTCATCGCATCTCTCAGTTCATTGTGTATATATACATTCCGATCATTTGTATAACTTGCATTACTGTCTGTGATTTTTATAATTCGTTATTTATTCTAATTAGTTATGTATTAGAGATTAGTTTTTCTTAACGCAATAAAAAATTTTTGAATAATTTATTAGCCTTTTATTAGGTACTAGAACAATGGTACTAGCTTAGTGTAAAGAATTACACTATGGTACTAACTTTTTGTTCACAATGTCCACTTGACTTTTATTGTAAGTAGATGAATGGATATGTTGGCTTCATTGTCGTGCTCTTACTCAATGGGTATTTTACTTACTACAAAGGATTTTTAGAGCATGAATTTAAAAAAATGTGCTTTTGTTGGAGTTTTCTCCGGATCTACTCCTGCTGTTTCGAACTGCTTCTAGGGGAATGGCCCTAGAGTCCTGGAATTTTTTGCAGTAGGTACTTGAAGGTGTGCCAGACGGCCATCAAATTTCGCTGTCTAAAAGGGGGGGGGGGGGGTTAACACATGTTCTACCTTTCATGGTATTCTAATGAAAAGTCTCATCGAAATAAATTGGGCAACCATTGTCTCAATAATCGTTGCCATGGATTTTAAGCTAAGCTCCACTTAAATTTGTTGGTCCAAACGGTCATTAGAGAAAGTGATGCTTGTACTGAGAGAAATAATTCAGCATCTACACCAGCATCACGGGTTGAAAATATGCTTCACTAGATCAATTCTGAGTTCATTTGATATCTTGTTATGTGAGACTAATTTTTAAATCTTATTAATCAAGTCTGTTCAAGCTGAAAATCTATATGACCATTTGTGACTGAAAATCTAATGGATTAACTGTGCCCTTCAATGGACTGTGTCTGAAAGAATCGGAACATGCTACTGATTTAGTTGTGGAACCAATGTTTCATCAGTTTCATGAATTAATTCCTTCATTCTGATATAGCGGACAAGACCAAGTCCAGGACAAGTATTCGCCAAACAAGTTGAAGTTGTTGATTGCATTTTGGCAGATCTAAAGTGACCAAAAGAAATTGAATTCAATTTTTAGTGTTTTTAGGCGGTAGAGAATTTTCTAAATTGAGGGATAATACGAGTTGAAATGCAAAATGGCAAAATTGGCGTTGGAGTATCCTGATGACCAGAATGGCAACGAGTTGTTGAATGAAATCAAAAACTTCAGACATCAAGTAGGTACTAAGAATGTTTATTTAATGCATGATTTGTCTTTGGAATATTAGGATTAGGACTAGTCTCGAGGTACTATAGTCAAAAGCATATTTTGCAATCATGATGAAATATTTTTGGATGTAAAGGGTCACCAATTTGCATTTGATGAATTGGAACATGTGAAAATCTGTACGCGACAACTCGTCAAGACTCAAGAGCGACTCGCCACTGATGACTTTCTCGCCAACGCGACAACTGGCCACTGCGACAACTCGTCAATGCAATATCTACCCAATGCGACAACACGCTCGCCTACAGATGACTTGGCATTGCGAGTTGGGACAACACTCGTTATATGCGAACGAGCTAGCGTACGTGACTGTAATCTTACTTCAATCTCAGCTCACTAATAAGGTACCTACAACAATGGTGTGCATTGAACGACTTATAGTGTCGTTCTCTAGGAAGAAGAGTGTACTTAAGTAAATATAATTATACAAACTAGACAGTCAACCGATAACTAATTCACATATGGTGACGGACTTAAAAATTCACTTCTAAGCTAACCTCTCATTCAAACATCATATTTTGCATTGCATCTTACTTTGGTTTGTTTACTTGCTTCCTACTATATTGTCTGTATGCATTTTCTTGTAAGAGGATTATGTACAATCTGTTGGCCAATAAAATATTATGACGTCGTAGTCGAAGTGCGCCTGGTAGAGTAACCGTTTACTATTGTTTTTTTAAGTCGTGGGACCTTCTCCTTACACAATTTGGTTGAAATCGATGTTACTCCCTGGGCTGAGGTAAGAATTTTTCATCTGTAGCAGAGATTTCCTGAGATCAGTTTCGAGCATTCTGCCGGCTACTCAGAATTAAGTTTTCCATCAGCAGTTTTCCTAATTCGTAAGGTAAATACCGGAGTTAAGAATTTCTGCAGGGGAACCTTTAAAAAGCATTTTGCGGGTCACTCTGTAATTGGGCACAAACCTGTTGATAGTCCAGAACAACAGAGGGACAATATAAATTAATAAATAAATAAATAAATAAATAAATAAATAAATAAATACATAAATACATAAATAAATAAATAAATAAATAATTGTTCATGCGGCTAATGCACAGGACTGGAAGCGACTTGTCGCGATGCAGGATTGGTGGCAAAGGTTTGATGTACCAAAAGGACATTTGAGTTTTGACACATTTGATATAAAATTAAAGTAATGTTTATTAGACATATTTTATATCAGGATACCGCTCGTATATGCACTCAAATGATTTGAATTTTAATAAACGACGTTTCGGGGATCACGCTTTCCCCTTTTCAAATTTATATCATTCAGATCCTGTCAATAATCTATTATCGTTGAATAACGAAATTTTTCACTCAACGCTATTACGTATAAATGAAATACGACTAATACGAGTACGTTTATTGAAAATTAAAATAAGTTGAATACAAACGAGTGATATCCAGAAAGAATGTGGAATACTGCGCATTACGGTCTGAATGTATCTCTGACTCTGACAAATAAGGCATCCATTTGTACATAGTTCCAATTTCGAATCAATCACCTCGTACACTTTCAAGTCCATGTGGTCGCGCCATCTATCGCCGCCGCGTATCCACAACAAGAAAAATGGCGCTCCTACGAATGCGGCGGCACCTATGGATAACAATTCACAGTTACATATAGTTTACTATATACAACTCTGTGATATCAATTTGCCTGCAGTTGCCATCTATCGATATGTTAAATGTTTCATATTTTACAGATAATAACATAATCTTGTTCGCATGATACTATAATTAATAGTGAAGATGGCGATATAAACTCTCGTTTCACAGAGTCACTGTAGTTTCGCCAAAAATCATATCTGTATTTTGGTCTATGCTACTATTATAATTCAATGCTACTATCATAACCAAATTGGTCTATGCTACTACGCAAAGGCATTGAATAAATTATTCAATGGCAAAGTGATGATACGGATTAGGCATGAATTAGGGACTAATATTTTTGTACTGTACGAGATAGATCAGAAACAAGCGGCTAACTGTTTCCAGGAATTAGGAATTTCATGGGTGGGCACTTGGATGAAAACGTGGAGAAACTGGAAAATCGTATACACTTCGAACTAATTCCAACTTGAATGCCACTATTCCGAGCGTTTGAAATGTACGATCACCGACAAAAATAATGATAATCGGGAACTTACTGACCCTTAGGCAACCAACCATACACTATCTAAAATGGCAACATTGAAGTGGAATTCTTCGGCGAGAATTCGTGAGGGATGGGCCGCACGCCGTCGCGCATTGTCGTCTTTGCTTCGGCGTTTCTTCGTCACTGGCTTGTAGGTATAATATATAATTACAAAAATTGGTAAAACAGAATTTTATGCATTACACATTACATTCTGGAAAACTAACGAGATGTAACGGTTAAATTTTTGAACAAGTCCCACAAATAGAAAAATATAATTGTACATAATGAAGTACGGTTAGAGGTTTTGTTATGCACGCATGTAGCGGAGAATAGTATACTTGTGAATGTAGATTGTAGTTATTGATCTCCAGTGGCGGAGACATTAGGAATTTCGTTGTTAATCATTTGTTCCCGTTGGCTACTGTTTTTACGCAAGCAACTGTTTTGCTAGGTTAGTAGTTTACTTATTATAGGATCCAGTCATCAATTTAAGGGCTGTAAGCGGCCTGCCATGTTTGTCAATGTAGGGAACGTCTATGTTGGTTTATCTGAGGAATTTTTGGAGGTCTTTAGGTCAGAGCCGGTATCTTCAAAACCGATAATAACGTTGAAAATCCTTCCTTTTTGATCACCGACCGTTGTGGCACTCCCATGTTTGAGAAAATCGTTAAATCCTTAATTATTGGAAATTTGTCAGTACTCCAGTCTTCTGGGTTAATTACGAAAAGCGATAGTAATTGGTATTGCCGTGTATCATTGTGGATACGTTTATTTTGGGCAATTCTTCACCTTTAGTGTGGTTTTGTTATCGCTTAACGTTCTGAGGTAAGCGCCATTTTGTACACATTGTAGATTGGTAACGATGTTCGTTCTTTTAAGGCTGACTGGATTGGGAAAAAACCCTGTACGTGTATTGCACTGCTTATTGGTTGAAATTGTTCAACGTAGGGATATTTCCGAAAATTGTACAGGTACGGCTTGAGGCTTTGAAATTCCAAAGACTTATTCTTTTGACCTTTTAGGGTTTTTTTTTGTATTATTTGTCTAATTTAATAAATTACCTTCAAACTGGGAATCGGTAAATGGAATGCATATGTTTGGCTTGGCTGTGATTGTTGAAGATTGTTTACCTGCGATCGGTGGGTGTTAATTGTACACCGCCTACCAGCTTTTATCGTCACCCCGTATTAGAAAGTGGTGTCGCCTGGTCCACGCCATCTAGTGGGCTGAATGGCCATCTGGAACTGTACAACCGTCTCAGAAGCTACTTCAATAGGATAAATAAAATACTCAAATAACTTACCAAGGCAAGCTAGACTGCAACTACATTACTCCCTGTAAGTTCAAACCCGTAAGTACTTTTGTTAAGGGTATGGCCATACTTATCAAGCATATCAGCACGCCTATGTGATCTGTACAGTAGGTACGTTGTCTGTTTATTATTGTTATAATCTTATATACTTACCGGTTAACGAATATTTTATTGTTGCCGCAGTTTTGCTTTGTTGTTTGTTATGTACCCATGCAGCATCTGATTTTAGCTACCTATTTGCTTATTTATTATATGTATTGAAACAAGGTTGAGTTTTCTTACCGAACATCTGATCGGCAGAGTAACGAGGCAACCGAAGCTGCTAGGAATCACGCCTGGAGAGGTGGGTATCATTACCCGCCGATATTTGGAATAGTTTCTCATGCTCGTCTGTAGTATCATTGTGTAGATTCGTTGCACTATGGTAGTATATAAATTTTCGTGATAGAGACATTAATTCACATTGGTATCTTCAATCTCGTTTTTCTCTCAATTGAAATAAAAACTGGCTTTTAAGGTTAATTTTGCAAAACAAGTTCTTATTTTAGTGATCCAGTTTTGTTATACAGTATACACACTGTCAAAAAAGGCCCACGTAAACGCAGTAAAATAAAATTAAACTTAAAGATTTAAATAGTACTTGTGCTTTTTTTATTGCATATTCAATCATAAAAAACAGTATGTACTATTTGTATGTTCTTTTTTTTGAAAATTAGGTTGTTTCCAAATAAACCAAAAGTCAAAAAATTATAATTATTGTCAACGAATCCTTTTCTTTTTACTCTAAATTGACAAAATAGAGATAAAAACTTCAGCGAACAATTCATAACAAGTAACCGATGAAGTGGTAATTTATACTCCCTCGGCATTCAAAATCACATTTACTGTTAATGGAAGAACCATAATATATGAACACACTGCTTATCGAATAGGTAATTAACAAGGTATTTCCATTGTTATGCGCATTGACAACCCTTAAACAGGGGCGTAATGCCTTATGAGCATGAAAATGAATCTAAACTTTTTGAAAATTTGAACAAAACGTTCTTCATAAAATACTCCGAAATATTTCAACGACAATTCTTCGCTGCACAACGAAAAAATCGCAAGGTCACTATTGTTTTGACGAGCTATACAACGAGTTTATACTGTATAGTTTTTCCTTCATACGGGTATTCGTAAGTATATACAGCTCAAAATACCTAAATAGGGATTTTCACATTTAATAACTTGTAAGTAGGGGTAATCTGGTAATTTTTTGTGCTTCATCAGTTGGCACCGTTGTTGACTTAAACAGAAAGACGGCCTGCCTGCATATTTAAAATTCATTTCTTAACTTTTTTTTATTCTCAAATGACTTTTTACGGAAATAATTAAAATGTACCTACCACTATCTATAGGTACACCTACCTGTCTGCGCCCGAGTCCCATTATGCTTGATTTGTATACAGTGATTTGTACTTTTTAGCACATTTCCACAAAAATAAGAAAAAATGCCCTATTGTGGACATTTAGACCGACCGTCCGTCCGTCCGGCTGTTTATTGCTCAAAAAGTTATTGTAAAAAAACCTCGGAAAAAAAACAAAAAACCGTTTTTTACAAGTTCCATAATTTGGTCTATGTCTATCCGTCTGTTCCTTTGTCTGTCTGTCCCTCTATCTGTCCGTGTGAACGATAACTTTGTTTAGAAATGTCCGATCGCCTTTACGAGTACATCTCCGTTAGTTATGAACTGAATTGCATGTAATTCAATATGGTCATAGCTTCAGCCATATAATACGCAATGGCAAAAGTTGAGTCGAATAGATTCAAAATTCACAGGTGCACTTTTCGCATCTCGACCATTTATAAACCGAATTGCAAACTTTTTTATTTATAAAAGTATTTAAATGAAATTTGATGCATAGCCACTTGGAACAAAGGAAAAACTAACGCCAATTTCAAAATTTGGTTTTGCGCATGCGCAGTGCCAACTTTCTTATTTATGAAAGCATTGAAATGAAATTCTTCTTATAAACTGAAATTGAAGTAGCACGTTAAAAATGGATTGCATCTATGCAACGCTATCTTTCATATTTGTGGCCGGATATTTACGATTTTAACAGAGGTTGCATCTTACAAAATATGGGAAATGAATAAAAGTGGAAACGCGCTTTTTGTAAATCGTTTACTATTTCTTGTTTTACTTTTTTCATTATGATCTAAAAGAACTACCTGTTGCTGCTGCTTGTTTCTTACTGCTGCAATTTTTAACGTATCTACACTTGGCGTACCTCGAACAACGACGGCACGTGAAGGTGAAGGATAAAAATTGTACTCGTGCGATGCTCGCGAGCATTGCTGTCATTCCAAAACTCGAAGCGAAGTGCGTAGTACGTGAAGGGCTGCCTGAAAGTAGGTATCTAAAGTACGAAAAAACAACCACAAAAAATATCCTGCTCAGTCTGAGCTCTAGTCACTAGTGGTATGGAAGACAATTCTACCTTATAGAATTGTCAAACTGATGCTACGCACGTTACAAAATTGAACAGTAGGTATATTATAGTGTTGTTATGGTAACGTAATTTACCCGATTTATCCATCTTCTTGCATTTCTCTTTCTTTCCTATATGATGTGTCCCATGGCAAACTACGATTTTTAAATAACAAAATGAGATTTAGGTATTATACACGAGTAGGTCTCGATGAAATAGATTAACGATTGCAACATTCGACGTGTTTACTATATACCTAAGTCGGACTGGACGCGCGCTTAGAGCGGAAAATTTTAGGGGCGGCACATTTTTGGGGGAAAATAGTATATTATATACCGCGGGACTGAAGTAGTACTTTTAATCCCGAAGGTAAAGTTTATGGCCCGACCGAAGGGAGGGCCATAATTTACCTGAGGGATTAAGACCACTACTTCAGTCGCAAGGTATATACGATATTTTTCGTACTTCCTAAACTGAAACACTAAAATCTGTATGGAGTTAGAGAACGCGTTCTTTCAAAAAATCGCTGTTTAACAAGTTACCATAGGAACGTTGCGTTGGCGTTGGTACGACAATCCCTATGCTATGGTAACAAAAATAATTTGGAAACTGTCATTGCTAGTGTCATAATTTTGGTGGTAGGGTGTATTTGATATTGATAAAAAGCAGCCAAAGTAGGTAAAGAATTGATACCACCGAAATCCAAAAAACTATATGAGCAGCAGTACGATGCGTTTAAGAAGTATACAAAATGTGAAACAACGTACCTACTGAAATTGCCTTGTTAGTAATTTCATCCTTCCGGGATTTTCGTCCAAATTTAATCCCGGCGGGACAAAAAGTGACACTTCAGTACTTGTCATAACGGAGTGAAGTTGTCACTTTAGTCTCGGAAGTACGAAAATACAATTTTTAATATTCACTAGTTAGGTAATTATAGTTTTGGTTTTGAATAGCAAGTAACGTAGAGAACTTGTTGAGTATCCATTCTCTCCAGGGAAGCTCGAAATGGGGTAAATGCGATAATCCAGAACAAAGATAACAAAACCTTCCCCATAAATTTCATTTATTATACAAAGGTATAAATAATTAATGGCGACATGTTTCGGCAAATGCCATATCATTAGGCCCTAGAATGTATTGCTTTAACAAATTTGAGTTCACAGCGACGAAACTTACAACATAAAGATCGACCGAAAACGGTACCTATATAGGTATGGTCGAATTCCATAAAATTTAAAGGTAGGTACAAAACCTGAGGGGGAAAAAAGTCCTCAGAGACTTGCTATAACTAGACTGCGCTTAACGTATCTAAGGTGTTGTCGACACAGTATGCAACACACAATGCACCGCGGGGCAAAAATCGCTGAGATGATATGCAATATAATAATATAATGAAATAAGCTGTTATTTTAGATGTTCCGTTCATTAATCATTCTCGTGATTAGCTCGAATTAGTGAACAGATAAATTTCTGCTGAGAATAAACCAATAAACTTAGGTTAACTTGTGCCTATCAACATGTACTCTGTCGATAAATTTTTAAATAATATGCTGATTTTCAACGGATAAAAGTTTAAAGGGCCAATGGATCAGAGCCATTCGAAGAGAAAAATTTACTCCCACCATAGTGCATTTGCGGGGAATGAAGCCGATTTTAGAAAGGTACCTACGAAGGTGTTAAACAATAATGCAATACCGAGCGTTTTCGACTTTCCCATTCACTTAAAATAACGTAGAACTATTATTCGACATCCTTTACCAGCAAGACAACGGCAATACCTATTTGCCTATTAGGTATAGACGTAACTAAGTACTTACTGGTACTAAGTATATTTCAGGTTTTGTTACAAGAAAAATAGCTAAGTCTGTTAAATGTTCCATATGTACAGATGGGATATTCGCATCAGAGAGTCATTCAAAGCTTTTAACTAGAAAAAATCGTGGAGGATTGTTGCACGTATCAAGTGATGCATTAAAAATTTGCCAAATTGCTGAAAATGTGTTCAGGTTTTTCATTCAATCCACACTACACCGCGTTGTAAACAAAATGGTTATCAGCAGTCTAAGAAAAATAAATAACCGTTACAGCCCATTTGGGTTTTTGGATAGGAATATATTGCATCAAAATCCGCTAAATAATCATATCTTACTACTTACAACTTTAGTTTTAAGAGTATATTTTCCAATACGTGTTCACCACCAAAATACACATATAAATCAAATTAGGACTAGAGTAAGGCAGTTATATACCAATTTAGTTCAAATAAAATACCAATAAATTCGATTAAAACAGTTAACAGCTATATGTTATCTTTTTTTGCTACTAAAATTTACAATAAATATGGCTAAAGCAAACTGCAGAACGTACGTCTGCCCCGCGATGAACAGTTGGTTGCCTATCCTATCTTGACAACAGGCGTTTATAGTAAAATCTACGCTACGCGCGGTCTAGTTATAACAAGTCTCTGAAAGTCCTAGACAAGTTAAGGCTCTACCTACAGCCCTGAAGGGGGGAGTCGACCGAAAGAGAAAGTTGGGGATTATTCCATCAAGTTTCTAAAATGGGTGCCTAATGCCTGAGCCCGATACTGATACACATTCATCCGATTCGATAAGATTTTTAGAACTGCAGTTTAATTGCATCAGGTAGGCGTAAACAATATTACTGTAAACAAAACTGGATGCAAGCGAAATTCACCTTAATTAACATTCTTTGACGTAGGCGATACGACTTAGAATCGCTTAACCGTTGTGGTACTGTATTTTGTTCATTCTTATTCTGCATACGTCAACAATAGCGCGATGCGTTTTGTTTAATAGAATTGTTTATGTTTAATTGACGACGTGAGGTTTAACAAGGCTAAACTGCATTTAGTGGGGTTAATTACATATCGGAATAGTAATAACGGATCGACTATACAGGGTTGTGCCTAGCGCAACGCAGCATAGGGATTTCAATGGTAATTTCTTTATAGTCAATTACTAGCTCCCCAAATTATTTTAGAGCAAAAGTCTAAATACGTTTTTTTTTAGAGAAAAAAATACTGCATCTGTTCATACTTTTAGTTATAATTTTCCATTTTTCAAAACCGTAAAAATCGACAAAATAAAAAATTATATTTTTATAAATCAGTGATGCTTTGGAACCTACAAACGCATCGCATCTAAATTTATTATGGTTGTTTGACGTCGAACGATTTTCATATATTTACCTATAATTCTGTTTCAACTTTCAACTAACTACTAACCGACGCAATAAAAGGGTAATATTTTTTCAGAGAATGTATGCTGCATCTGCATCAGATACCTACTATTTGTTTATCATTTTCCGGAATCAGAGTACCTACATAATCGAAGAAAAAAACGGATTTGAAGAAGATTTTTTCTTAAACTGCTATTCGGATTTTCCGCTACTGCAGCCAAAACGTTGAATGTATTATGTCGTTTTCCTGATGGTTTTGACGGACATTTTGAACGTTATTGCACTTGCAGTTCTTTAATTAATTTATAAACAAGTATAAATTTAATATAGGTACGTCAAAGGCAAATAATGAAACGTGATCGCTGTTTTTTTAGGTACCTAATTCCAAGACATAGGTATTTGATTTATTGTAAAATGAACCTTTTTATTTTGTCAATTTCTACGGTTTTGAAATCGGAAAATTATAAGTAGGTAATAGTATGAACAGATGCAGTATTTTTTTCTCTAAAGAAAACGTATTTAGACTTTTGCTCTAAAATAATTAGAGGAGTTAGTAATTGACTATAAAGAAATTACCATTGAAAAATCCCTATGCTGCGTCGCGCTAGGCACCACTCGGTATATAGGTAAGTGCAAGGCCACCGTCTTTCGATTATGATGGCGCGGGTTCAAACCCCCCGAGCACGCTTTTTTTTCTATAATAGATCGCGGCAAAAAGAAGAGAGCGAAGGATAGTGAGGGAGAACAGATAAGTGCCATTTCGAATTTTTTTCTAATATTTACGTGACGCCACTTACCTACCGCACCACTGAGAGACTGCGAGAACTGAAGTGATAGCATACCTACCTACCTACCTATAGGTACTTAACAAGATTAGTTCAAAAGACATATTGAAAGTGCAGGGAGTTATAAGGGTGAGAAGGTGAGACGCATATGATTGAATGAATTATGAACCATAAAAATAAATAAAATAGAAACTAAAAAACAGAATTGTAATAAAAAACGTATATTTTTTTTATAATTGTTTTAATTCCTTTTTTAATTTATATCCCTGCAGTGGTGACGTGAAATTTTGGAACACCAGTGGTGACGTCGGTCTGAGAGACCGAATTTGATTTTGGCTTCATTTCGTAGTTACTACGCATGTAACTTGGCTCAAAATAAAGGAAAAAGTTCAGTCAAAAATAAACAAAAGCATATAAATCGAAAAATAAATTTTATTCGTGTAACATAACCAGTAGCGGTCCCAGGATATGGTAAAGGGATATGGTAAATTTTCGAGTTGTTCTTGATTTCTGTTTGAAAAAATGTGCAGTGGCAGCTTGAATTTTTAGGTACACCAATGGTGACGTCGGTCTGACAGACCGAAAGGGTTAATTGTCAAAAAACGGCTTGCGTCATCAAGTTGTTCGTCTGGTACTAAACTCAGGCACGCAAAATATTAACCTAGCAGAACTAGCAGTGCCATGCGCTGCGCCGTTTTTACAAAAATTTGAAAAATACTTTTCGTCGGTCTGAGAGACCGTGCGTCACCACTGAAGGGATATAAGTATAAGTTAATTATGGCCATCACAGTGACTCAGGATTGTTATATGACCATTTTTGAAATGGGGCCAATGGTGCCGCAAATTCGTGAATCAATTGGACAATGAAACGGTTGTTGGTATATGTTTGGGGATAATCTGGCCTCACACTTCTCACCAGTAGTCATTACAATGATACAGTAGGTAGAGGGAAACCATATTTATTTCAGTGGCTTATTTCCCTCAAATTTTATACACATCTGACATCTTATTTGCAGCAGCTATGTAGAACCTATACTTAGGTAGGTACGTGGGCATAGCCAAGGGGGGTTTTCGGAGTTCAACCCCCCCCCCCCCGAAATGTTCAAAACATTAATTACAGTAATGTTATATTCATACATTAATAAGAAAAGAGGAGCGCAATACAGTTGCAGTTTCTGTGCTTTATTTTTATTCACATACCTACTTACATATTGACGTTATTTTATGCACTCTTTGTCGTTTTATTTACTTGAACCCCCTCCGAATCTAAAACCTGGCTACGCCCATGCTTAGGTATATAGGTACCTATACCTATACCTAGAAACCTAGATGTTATGGAGTTTTTGGCCCGATGAAAATAAATTGCTAGGTATAGTCTTAGACAAACGGAGGCAAGAAACGAGGCGCAAAAGATCCATTCCCAAAGAACAATTTCCACTTTTTCTATAAAATATAGATTGTGGGAATGCATCTTCAACGATAAATCTAAATCTTCAGGGCGTCTTCGGGAGAACTGCGTCTTTATCAATTTAATCTCGAAGTTGCTATCTATCAAAAAACTTTCCTCCCCTGTTTCCTCCGAAAAAAATGATGCAGAGTTTTGCTTTTGATGGATTCCAGTTTACTGGAATTTTTAAAAAAATCGGGAGGGTGCAACGAACTATAGGATACGTCAAAGAAGAGACAAAGAAACCCATAGTTCGAAATCTGGATCGCGAATTTCTCTATGGCTTGTAGCAGGGAAGACGGAAATCAAGATCAATCACAGAAAGCTGAAACAAGTTCGACTATAATAATCCTCAATTCATTGTAAACCATTGAGTAAGAAGATTTTTTTTGTTTTTATTTATTATCGATTAACCTGTAATATAGGTACCTATAAATATTAATTATATATCTAGATATGTAATAGCTACCTATAGGTAAAGGTACCTACAGGAATACGCCACAGAACACTCAGACATCTTTCGCTAAATTAAGGACGCAAAGGATGTTTAGTTATATTAAGTTTTTACGCGTGATCATTTAGGAGCATTCCAACCCCAAATTACATATTCTGCAGTTTTTATATTAATCTTTCGCCATGGTTCTTTATTTACTTGGTATTGACATAATAGCGTAATATATAGGCGTGGCCGTGAAAGTTATTTCAGTAATGGGGATAGGACAGTTCAATACATTCATTCGAAAACTATTCGCCGAAGTTTAGATACCGGTCGTGGCGGGCGTGGTTTAAATGTCGCGGAAGGGATCCAAAGGGTGGAGCGTATCGGCGCAGGGTAGGCGAGGTTACATTTTTCTAGATAAGTTAGTGTCCTGCTGGAGTTGATTGTGGTGTGCTAAGTGATCGTGTTTCGTTAATTGCCTACATTAATTAATTTGATAATGAAGAATGCGTTGTTTGATACGTAAATGAGCGGTCGTTTAGATCTTTTTCGATGTGAATCAATTGGGGGATAGATATGTATGTTTTAGTGTAGAATGAGTTGTTCGGAAGTGATGTACCAAGCGTATTATCCGTATTTGTATCAAAGAGCCGGAGCGGCTCCTCCTGTTACAACGCACGGAGTACCTAGATCTGGACCGTTTAGTTCGCCGTTCGGGGCAGCTCATCAATACGACAGAGTAAGTCGAGATCTATCTTTTTGCTATAGGTATCGTGAAAAGTGGGTACCTATAGATCAACAATGTTTGATGACATGCGCAGATGTGTCTCCTTTATATTTAAGGGGAGTGTAAATTACTCCCCACTCTCGCAGTTTAACAACAAAAAGATGTTTACCTAAAATTAATTTCCATCGGGTAGCATTTCATATTACTTATGTATGGGTAGTGCATCTTCTGTAGGTATCTATATACTTTAACTTATCTAAATAAGGTAGGTATAGGTACCTACATCGCGCATACTATACCTACCTATAATAAGGTACCTACATAAATCCAGAGATATAAGTTTTAGGTACCTATACCATGTGCCTGATGTAAGATAATCTTATAATGCATTTTTTGTCATCAGATCTGCCTATATACTTATATAGTAATTAGTAGGTATACCTACCTACCTATATCTATATTAGATACCCACCTATCTATATATCCACTAAATAGCGTACCTACCTATAGGTACATCACATAGACTAAACAGGCCTATATATAACCTATAGATACCTACACCAAATAAAATTTAAAAAAATGTGACAGTGCGTCTTGCCGTCGCTTACATTTTTGCTCAAAGTTATAGGTATCTGGTATTAAGACTAGGTATATTAAGGCACCTTTAATTGGGTGGTCGATTTGATGTTTTTAAAATTCCCACTTGCAAGGAAGGGATAAGTAGCTCTGTAGCTATAGGTGACAATTTAATTTCGGAATCAGTATATCCCTATCCTCTTCCATAAAGACCGTATAGCGGGTCGTATAAGAATTGCGATCTATACCTATACTTATTCTTAATTTTAACAGAATCGCATGAATAATTTATTCAATTATACCTACCTACCTATACCTACCTACCTAGTCAATAACGTTTTTTGTCCTAATAGATGCTATAGAATAAGTAGATGAAATTGTGGAAATTACAAAAATAGCGCAATTACTTATACATATACCTACCTATACCTACATAATCCAAGCAGTTACCTACATATACCTAGGTACCTACCTGTTCCATTTTTAATTTCGGAATGTGTAGCCATTAATAGCCATACCTATTCGTATAGGTACCTATATAGGTCTGAAGGTCTGATGTTCCGGCATTACAATATGAAGTTCTGGTGGAACACTCTAGGTTTCAACAAGCCGCTGACGCGTTTCCTGTGATCAGGAAGTTGACAGTTTGGGAATTTTTCAGACTTCAGGTATACCTACCTACCTACCGACTCCTATGCATGTAGAGAGAAAAGTTTGTCTGTGAACACTGAATACCTATAATATCTTCCAAATAATTAACGTTTTTTTAAAGAAATTTGTTATGGTATCCAAAATTATAAAAAGTTTGCTACCAATCTCTCTACTTTAAATTTGTGGTCAGTGGCGTACCTACTTCTGCATGGTCAAGGGGGTCTAATTTTATTAAACGGTGACCACTAGTGTTCATTACATATTCTTAAAGAGAACACTTTTTTTCGATATAACAGATAAAAGAACTTATTATAGGTAAGTATTACATAATCAAATTTAAGAGAGAAACTCAACTTAAGGAAAATGGTTGTGTTAAATAATTTAATAATTTCACTAGTTAGGGTTGAAAAAAAACATTCTTTAATTGTTAGTTAGGTAGGTATGTCAAAGTAATAGGTATTGTAGGTATATCAAAAATCATAAAAAATTTACCCAAGTGAATCAATATGCCCAAAAATTATTTATCTATAGGCGTCTACCGAAGTAAGAGGGTCACTTTTTTGATAATGGGAAGCATTATTTTTCGTGAGGTTAGGTTTTAACAAAGAATGAACTTTTTTTTAATAGGTATGATCACCATAAACAAACATGATCAAACTAGTACCTAAAATTATAAAATTAATTTAACAAACTATATTTTACTTAATTTGAGTTTTTCTCTCAAATTTGATTATCTCACTACGTTTTTATGCTGCTATATATCCAAAAAATATACCTACCTACTCTTTAAGAATAGGTACCTATGCATAATGAATGAAAACTAGTGGTTAGCTATTGAAAAAATCGAGGAAAAAATATATGTCCCCTTTGACCATGCAGAGTATGCGCCACTGAATACAAACTAGGTAAAGTACGTATAGATAGGTAACAAACTTTTTATAATTTTGGACACCATAGCTAAAAAGCTTCTTTAAAAAATGTTGTTTTGAAGATACACGTATAAGTCTCAAGCAAGTATCAGGCAAAATGTTCCCGGGCCAACACATCAGAATTGCAATTCGCCAAGTGGATGTCTGATGCTTTATTTAATATCTGTACCTACCTAAGTATTGAGTAGTCCATTATTGTTACAGAGGAAAAAACAACGATAACAACAACCACTAAATAACACAGAATAAGTGAAACAAAACAATTGAAAACTTGACGTACCTACCATAAATTCTATAATTTTCGCACAGACGCCTAATCACCTTGAAACTTGAAACTTTGACATATGCCTGGCGTCGTCGCCTCTCCCAGGATTTAGTCAACTGTCGTGAGGATGCGTCCCCGGTAGTCACTATCAGGAGTATCAGGGACGTTTCTATCACCTTTTTAACAAAATTGCAGTGTTTCGGTACAGACCTACCTACCTATCGTATACTCAGGTGGGTGGGCGTAATATTAAAAAGTTGCAAAACAGGGTAGCTGCGTAAAATATTCATGCGTCTGTTAGAATTTGGGAATACCTATAGGAACCTAATTATTTAATAATCGCAATTTTTACCACTATGCGCTTTTTATGGAAGAGAATATGGACTAGGTAGGTACTGATTCCGAAATTAAGTGTTATTGGTCCTATACAGCTTCTTTGCAAGTGAGAATTAAAACTAAACTAGGTAATTTAATTTTGTATATTGCTATATTATTTATCTATAATTATATCAGGATATCTCGAAAACCATATAGAAGATGATAGACTCAGATTTTAAACCCATATATAGCAAACATTTTATATAGGTACCTAAGTACCTAAATAAATTTTGAAATATTGGATAGAAAACATGTTCACATCTTCACAACTGTTTGAGGTAGGTATAGGTATTTGTAGGTACAAGAAAGGTAATTTACTTGTTCGTTGACCCTATGCTTCACACGGTAGGTACCTATTTTAAAATAGTTTATATAGGTGCATATAAAAATACAATATCAGAAATACTTACCTATTACTAAAATAGTAAACAGAAAGTTATGGGGTAGGGTCACAAAGTTGTCGTAGCCTGGTCTTATGTTCGGCTAATCCGCCTTTGAGTAAGACTAAGAGCTTCAAATTGAATGAATATTACATCAGCAATGTTTGAACGAGTATTAAAGGCTAAGGTGTCACATGTAAATTTTCGATGCGATTATTATTAATCACTTTTCCCCAAAAGTTATTTTCGGGTACCTAATTCTTACCTAAACATCTCAAGTTTCTTGCAAGCGTCTCTCAAGTTATTTTCAAATTCTTCTGATGTTCCCTCTTTCTCCTCCTTTTTTAATGCACAAAATCATATTTCATGAAGTTTAGGAATTCCCTCCATGTTGATGCCCTTATTCACTCAATTGTCTTTTTAAGTTACTTTGAAATTCACTTATCAAGTTTCTTTGAGATTCCCAAATTCCAAATACGCTCCTTCACGTAAAGCTCTCTTAGCGCATATTCTAGCAATTCCGATAGACATCGAGGCGCCATAAAGATAATTCATCGATAAGCGATAAGAAACCAAAGCGGATGTGACGCATTCTTTACGGGGAATACGACGTGCTTGTTCAAAATATTCGGAAGCGTTCGGGAGCACCCGAGAACATTCTAGAAAGATTGTTGTTTGTATAGGTAAGCAAATTGAATTGTGCTTCCGTTAGTTGTAACATCGATGCGAAGTGAATTATTAAACTTCCGCTTGTGTTAAATAAATAAACAAATACCTAAATAAATCACGTAATTAAATTTACGTTATGCACTCTATTCAAGTTTCCATGCAGTTTCCATCAAATTCCTCTGAATTAAGATTAAGTATAAAATTCGCATTCTTCCCACTAGATCACCCTCGTGTTTCTTTGCAATTCTCCTCTATAAATTTCCCTTAAATTTTCCTCGAGTTCCCTTCATATACACCCTCTAATTATTTCTTAATTTCTTAATAAGTCGTTCTCAACTACTTTCCATCTCCAGCTCTTTTTAAATTCGTCCTCGTCGAGATCATCATTGCATCTCCTCAATTTCTCAATAAGTTTCCCTATAGGTAATACAGTTATTTTTAATTTCTCACATTTTTTTGAAACTTTGTATTGACAAAAATTACAATGAGTTCAACTTTTCACACTAGTGGAAATGGTTCAACACCAAAGAATTAGCCCCTTCCGTATATGTACCTACGGTTATTTTCAAACGTAATGATCGCCGAATACTTAAACCCTGCAGCATAGGGAACCTCTACCCATCCATCCACATCGTGCTTCGTCGGTTTCTTCAAGAAAAGGGCACTTCTTTTATTAGATTTCTAAGTTGCACGGTATAACGGAGCGGAGACAGATTAATTTTTAAATATTATAATTGACGGAGTAATTAAGAGGAGAAAAATGTTTCCCATGGCAACCTCTGTTTTTACTCTCAATACAAACAGTTCTGTATCATGTTTATTTGTCAAAGTAAGACAACGAACCTTATGTACCTAAGTTTGCGTTATAACTCGAAAATTATAAAAGAGGAATGGAAATTAATAAATGTATCTTATTAAGCGGAAAAAATCTACAGTTTTTGTTCTTTGCATATTTCTGTATAACTCGTTTCTGTATTTCTAATACTAAGGATACTACAATATTTAAAAGAAAAGTCGTTACCTAAATCTGTTTTTCGCCCATATCTAGTAAACTGTGGATTTTTTTCAAAAAACAAAAGCGTATCTTGAATAAGCTCTTAAAACGACAACTCTTTCTTCATTTAACCGAATCTCTATGGCTTACGGTTTCCGAGATCCTAATGC